ATTTTCCTTTTCTTTGTTTTTGTTATTATTCTATTTATCTCACTTACTCTGAACATTTTAAGACATCGGCTTATAGCAACTTCGTTATTCCATTCCATTTCTTTGTTATTTTATTTTCTTTGCGTTGTTTATTTCATTAAGTTGTTACCGTTGTTTTATTATTGTTTACTTAATCAGTTTATCACTTTGTTTACTGCATCACTCTATCTACATATTATTACTGTTACTATCTATTATTTTCTCAATATTTATATGTTATCTTGTCTTTGCTTAACCCTGATGAAGGCCTGAAATTTTGGCCAAAGCATCGCCACAAAGGACAGAAATAAATATATTTACTTTGTACTTTCATTGATTGAAAACCCCAACCAACTTCTCTTCAATATATTTATTCTCAGCTTTATTGTTTGTTTTCCATCTTGTTCTGATGACCAACCTATCTTATCCATACCAGAATATGGTCACATGAGCACTCGGCAGCTCTGCATCTAAACTGTGTGCTAGTTAATAATAATCAGTTATTTTGTAAGTATTTCATAATTTGTCATATAAATGCATGTTTTGACTTTTGTCTCGATAGATAACTTGTTGGTAAAACAGCCAACTATGTGGCGCTAGTGGTATAGCTAAGCATTGTCGTTCTGTATATTATTCATCTCTATCACTATTATAAAAGTATTGCTCTGTGTGTGACTATACCAGATTAGGTATCGTTGTGAGTATTGAGCGGTGCTGTATCGTCAAGACATACACTGTGTGTAGGAGTCTTTATAGTGCCAAAAGTCTCATTTTGGTGGTATGCATAGTTGTCCCTTATACTCCACTATTCCCTTATCGTCCCTAAATGGCTGGTGGTCTGAGTCCACCCCTTCAACTTCCCTTCTCCTATATGGCACATTTAGGAAAGATAGAGGACCCTTCAGTATTCCCAAAACTCCCCTTTACTTCCCCCACTCACTACAACTTATATTTAACTGATAAAAAATGTAATTATCATTTTATTATTATTATGTTTGCTATTATTATACTTCTAAAATTATTATTTTTGTTATTATTATACTTCTACCTAAATAAAATCTAGTGAAGTAAAACTTCTTGGTTAAAACTATTTTCTGAGTATTTAAGAGGTAGGTTAATAGCTAAAAAAGAAAAATGTTATTGAGAACGTCCACTCCACTTCGTAGAATTAGTTTGATATTAGCCAGTTAATGATATATAACTTCTTCTTTTCTTAAACATTGGCACAAAAACATTTTTAAAAAATCGAGTAAACATCTAGTAAGTATAGGGGGTAACTGGACTGTTCAAATACATAATAAACTATTGTTATCTTTTTTTAATATGCTTATTATATAGATGAGTGTTATTAAAAGAAAAAGATTTTGTGGAGAAGAGTTACAGTTCCTCACCTCTCTAGTTCTCGAAAAAGCTGATGTTTTAAAAACTAAAGATACAGATATTGTTTCAAATACAAAAAAAAAAAAATAAAAAAAATAAGGCTTGGGAGGAAATTCTTGCCAATTCAATGAGAACGTTGTTTTCTCCAGTTCCCTCAAACAATCCAGTCGTGGAAGGTAACAGTGGTGTTATCGTACAATAACTTGTTTTATTATTATCTATGGGTGACTCAATAAATATTTAGTGTGGAGAAAATACATTTCCTCACTTCATAAGTTTTAGAAAGAGTGTCAGTTCTGGAAAACAAGAAACTCTTAGAAAGTATCAAGTTTGCTGGAATATCCTAATCAAGTGTATCGGTGTTCTCATATATTTTGATTTGTTGGTGTTTATAGTACTATTTATATGATAATAGCTAAAATAGAAAGATAGAAAGCCTATTTAAGTCAATCAGCTTTGTCAGAACTTATCATACTATGTTTTACATTTATAGAATTTGTTCCTTTGATGATAGCAGGTTGTAATATTACAATATTAATTTTTCATGTAATTTAATTAAATTTGTCAAACATTTTAAATTAATTTTTTCCTTGTAACTGACAATGATCCAGTTTTTATCTAAGAACTACTTGTTATTGAACCATTTAAAGTTGTGTAAGTGAAAAGTAAAGCTTTTAGACATTGATACCTTACCAGAAGTACTATAAAGGCAAGTATAGATTTATATAAATTTCTTAGTATAATTTCTTCAGGTTCTGTCCCAGGAAATTATTTTATTTATATTACTTTATTCTGAACAAACCATAATCCATCACCCAAGTTGGTCCACCAAATCTGCCAGATAAACTTTGGCAAATTTTAATGGCTCCCTAAGACAACCTTCCATTGGGCCTAACAGATACATTACGAAAATGGGCCATAAAGATGTCAGCAGAACAAGCAGCAATAGTGAAGTACTTACCAATTGGAATACCGAATGGTGGCAATTGTGTATAATCGTTCATTGAAAATAATTTCAAAACTTTAAATGATCTAAGGGATTGAACAGCACCAAAAGTTGTAAAAAAAATGAGGGTGGTGTGTGCATCACACAACTTTCACTTACCACCCTTTTTTTTAATAGGTATTTTCAGACAAAGGGAAATTGAAGTAGATAATAAATTAGATTTTTAAAAATATTTATGAATGGAAGGGTTGAATGAGGTAGTATAAGTAATTTTCATAATAAATAATTAAATTATTTAGTGTGTTAAATCATACTTTATTTTTTGACTTGAGCATTAAAAAGAAATTGATGTTTTAAAGAATTATAAAGTTCATTGGTTATGCCTTAAAATATTTTGTTCCTCTTTTAAAGTTAATTTATGACACTTTTACTCTCTATCGAAGTAAACATATCAATTGTGTTTTAAATACTTTTAAGTGAAAATACATACATAGCTATGTTCTCCATTAGCATTGAATTTTTTTTTTGTATTTGAAACAGTATCTATATCATTATTTTCTTTAATATCAGCTTTTTTGATAACTAGAGATGTGAGGAACTGTTACTCCTCTCCACAAAATCTTTTTATTTTTATATCTTCTTTCTATATCTATATATATTTTATATACTTCTTTTTATATCTATATAATAAGAATATTTAAAAAAAGATAACAATAGTTTATTATGTATTTGAACAGTTCAGTTACCTCCTTTATTTACTCCATGTTTAATGGACGTTTTAACATGTTTTTGCGCCAATGTTTAAGGAAAGAAGAAGTTGTGTATCATTATCTCGGGCTAATATCAAACTAATTCTATGAAGTGGAGTGGAGAAAATAAAGTTCTCATTAACATTTTTCTTTTTTAGCTATTAACCTACCTCTTAAATACTCAGAAAATAGTTTTAACCAAGAAGTTTCACTTCACTAGATTTTATTTAGGTAGAAGTATAATAATAACAAAAATAATAATTTTAGAAGTATAATAATAGCAAAAATAATAATAATAACATGATAATTATATTTTCTATCAGTTAAATATAAGTTGTAGGGAGTGGGGGATCAAAGGAGAATTCTGGGAATGATGAAGGGCCCTCTATCTCCACTAAATGTCCCCTATAGTAGAAGGGAAGTTAAAGGGGTGGACTCTAACCACCAGCCTTTTAGGAATGATAAGGGATTAGTGGAGAATAAGGGACGTCTATGCATACCTCCATTAATGTCAACTTCTGTGATTATTTTAACCATTTTCCTTTTCAGTTGATGTACTGACAAATAAAAATGTAGAAAAAATAACCATCATTATTTTAGTTTTTAATTTGGTTTGATGTCTACAAAGATCTTTAACACTATGTAGCTAGGTAGCTAAGAGGTATATGTAAAGGTTACCATCACATTATGGATAAAAACACCAAATTTGGTATTAATGCTAGCTTAGGAGCCCTTTAAAATTTTTGAAAATTCTTGTGCATAGCACTAAAATCCAAAATGACCAAAAAAAACAAAAAAAAAAAACATCACTTTCAACAAAATTTATTTTAATTTTAATTTTCAATCAGCTGTAGGTTATCTTATCACACTACAAACTCAACTTGAAATAGTCCATACTGGATGTATCAGTTCTTAATGGCCAAACTCTGGGGATGATTCTAGACAAAATTTTCAACAAAAAAATTTATTTGATGCGTTGGTCGATTCCGAATGGAAAAGGAGTTAAGACCGATTTTGTGTTTTTCTTAAGGTGGTCACATTTTTTATTGAATAAGAAGGAATTGCTCAAAAATCTATTCAAAATAATTAAATTATAAGTACACCAACTTAAAGTAGGCAACATTTCCTTTGAGAAGACAGTGATTAAATTTATTAAGGTCAATGATAAAATGGACTTTCAGGAGGTCTAATAACGCTAAGCCTACCATTTTGCCATATTATTTTACGAATCAGGATTACAGAGATATGCTGCTCATGTATGGATACTCTAACTGCTGCAGTACAGTGGTCGTCTTTGATCTTCTGAAGGTACCTTTAATCATTGAACTTAGTAAATTTAATCACTGTTTTCTCAAAGAAAATTTTGTCTAATTAATTAGAAAAAACTAAAAATATAATTATCTTAAACAGTTTTTGAGCAATTCCTTTTTATTCAATAAAAAAAGTGACCACCTTAAGAAAAATACAAAATTGGTCAATATTTGCATCCATTACAACTTTTTTCCAGATTCTTTTTGAGGAGATATGTTTTATACTTATATTATGTATATGAATGTATATACATATAAATATATGTATAATTACACACACACACACACACACACACACACATATATATATATATATATATATATATATATATTATATATATATATATATATATATATATATATATATAATTATAAGAAGCTTCAAGGAAGTGATGTTAGTTACGTTCAGTCGTCTTAATTCTTACAGTCGTTTTGGGACTACAGCCTTATTGAATTATTACATTTTCTGAACCAGGTAGTTTTTAATTTTTTATTCCTTTTAAGGCTTTTTCAGTTCCTTCAACCGATATATAGAAAAACAGTTTTTTCAGCCGTCATTTCAAAACGAAACCGCTGATAGTAATGTCGATTTTCTAGGTGCATACTAGGATGATCTGTGACTTTTGTGCCATATCTAAAAAAAATTGGTCCAATTTAGAAAAGCAGTAGACAACAGATGAACGGATTTCTTTTATTTTGTTCTATTTTTGGATCCTACGTGTATTGGAATGTAAAACTCAAATCTTCAAGAGGTTAACTTTTTATTTCTTGGTCGATTAAAAAGGTTTAATATATTAAGTACTAAACCAAAAACATGTTGAAATCTAATAAGGTAATTAATAAATCACTAAAAAGTATATAATTTTTGAGTTATTCACAAATAAAGTTTTGCATTCATCGTAACTTCTTTTCCAGATTCGTTTCAGAGAAGTATGTTATATATATATATATAAATTTAAAGAGCTTCAAGGAGAAGACCTAAGGCAAGTTTCATCAAAATCGTGGTACTGCCGTTTTGGGGTAACTGTCTTTTGAAACACAATTTTTTCAGCCGCCATTAAAATGAGATGGTGGATGGTATTGTTAAGTTCCTAGGATCATCCTAGGGTGTCTTGTAAATTTTTTGTAAAATCTCTAAAAAAATAAGTTCAATGGTCTCAGAGAATAGCACCGGACGAATGAATTAAAAAAATAAAAATTTACAAATGCTACGTATTTTGAAACTTAAAACCTCAAATTTGGAGTTAGTTTTCTAATTAATTACAAAAGTTCATTGAAATAAATTTCAGGGGGTTCCTAGGCTAAGCTTTATTAATATACCCAGAGGTACTTTCACACCAAATTTGGTTCTTTTATTCACCATGCAACTGTAATTTCATTCTCCCGACTAAAAGGCCCTCCTTAATCAATTGAATTATTACATTTTCTGAACCAGGTAGTTTTTAATTTTTTATTCCTTTTAAGGCTTTTTCAGTTCCTTCAACCGATACTGAACGTACTACTGTACAGCTTTGATTTTTTATTTGCTTTTTAACTTTATACTGATAGCCCTAGAGCCAGGGCCAAAAAACGGACCTCATTGCAGGCGAAGGTTTAAATGTAAATTATGAAAGTGTACAACATTTTAACTAAAATAAGCTTTTTCTGCCATTCCAAAGCTGCTGATTTCTGAAATGGCAGCTATGCAAAGAGGTCCTAATTTGCCGGAAATAGCTCTCATTCCAAGCTAGATGAAACTTTGATAGATGAATCTTTCTACCAAAATGTGTCATTTTTGAGCAGTCTTATGTTTTTAAGCTGGTTATGAAGCCTTCAGTATAAAGAAAAAGTACAAAGTAACGATCCATCACAAATTTTGATGGAACAACAAAATTTTAATTGTAGTAAAGCAGAAAAAAATATTGTATGGAAATTGGCTCAGTACACATAATATAAAAATTTCATATCAGTATAAAGAGGTGAATAGAATGATTAAAATGATTAAGTACATAAATGAATTCTGGAACCAACGTTATCCTTATGGAGGTCTGATCAAAGACCAAAACCGGTTGCACAGAAGGAAAAAAATTATACAGGAAGACATCTTTTTAATTGAATTTAAATTTTAATCCTGTGACTTCAAGTCTAAATTCAATAATCAAAATTTTGACTTATTTATAGATGTTTGTTTCTTTTCTTAATGAAACTAGATTTTTACCTGCCACAGATAAACTTTGTCTGTTAATCATTGGCATGTGTTACCAGTTTTCAATAGGGTAAATTATTTATTGACACCATACGGGAATATCTAACAATTTTATTTTGAACCAAATATTTTCATTGGAACTAAATTATTGCACATCAGCTTCTAAAAATTTGTAAACTTATTACACATACCTAGGTAGTCCAAATAACTGTTGTTCAATTTTGTAGATAATTAATGATGTGGTTATTTGTAAAAATTAATATACCAATGTTATGATAAATATGGGAGGAAAATAATTTTTTTTTTACTTTTAAACAATATTACAACCCTAAAAATCACAATTTCAGAAAAATATCTCAGATGAAAAATTTTAATTTTATAATTAACACCAGTGAATTTCCAGATATCCAAAACATATCAAGTAAAATTACCATATGAATAGATTACAAAATTCGGCCAAAATATCCCAGGGTACGAAAATAAAATTTTAATTAATTGGTTTACAAAATAGAAAGGGAAATTCATTAAGGAACTTCCTTATTCCAGTCAATAAATGATTATAAAGTGAAATGAAAGAAAAACTATTTTTGACTCAGGGATTTCTTTTAACCTAGTTAGGAAACAATCTACTAAAAATTCCGAAACCTAATAGAGGAGTGAGGGGATCCTAGTGGATCACTTATTTCTTTATTTCTGCTTGTATAGCATTTCCAAGTCAATTTCAACCTTTTCAATATATATAATATATTAGTTGTAAAACTAAAATTTTATATATAACATCATCTTCGCTTGGATGCTCAGTTTCCTTAAATAGCTTTTCCAAGTCAAATTCAACCTTTTCCATTTCAAATTCAACTTTCGAATTTTTGTAAATTTTTCATTTTTTTTTAGGCCTAGCTTTAGAGAAATAAAAATGAAATGTAATAACGTGGTTGCAAATCTATTTATTTTTTCTTTTTAGATTTGTTTGGTATAATATTTCCATGTCATATTCAATTTTTCCAAGTCAAATTCGACCTTTTCCAAATCAAATTAAACTTTTTTCAAGTCAAATTCAATGTTTTCCATTTCAAATTAAAGCTTTTCCATTTCAAATTCTACGATTTTTTATTTATTTAATTATTTTTAATTTTTCAATGTATGGGTCGGTTATTGTATGTGTGTTTTTTAAAAATAATCTCCATTTTAAGATAATAACCTCCATTAGCATTAAATAGCATTTTGATTTATTTAAGTGTTTCTAATTTATTTGATATTAGGGTCTACTTATGTTTCCAGGGCCATAAATTTTGAAAAGGACCTCCATTTTAAGATTACGCCACTGCGTTTCGACTTATTTAAGTTTTTCGGATTTATTCGATATAAGGGTGTATTCTTATGTTTCCTGAGTCGTATATTTTTAAAATGGCCTCCATTTTAAGATTACCCCTATGTGTTTCAGTTTGTTTAATTTTTTTTTCCTTCGGATTTAAAAAGATATGAAGAGTTAGTTTATTTGTCAGCCGAAATTAATAAAATATCTATTTTCTCATTTTTAAATTTAATTTTTTTTTTTTTTTTTTAATATTCGTTACACTCTTACAAAATTATATGTTACGAATTTAGAACAATAAGCTGAAAAATCTGTACATGGTAGGTTAAATTGATTACCGGTTGCTTTTTCAGCTTTTTACTTTGTGTTTAGTGGTTAATTTAACCTTAGCTTCATAGTATTTATTTATTTATACTCGAAAACATATTGATCAAACTTTATATTAAAAAAAACCTAATAAATTGAGATGCAGCTGCGTAATCTTAAATGGGTGTTATTTTAAAAATTTATGGCCCCGGAAACATAAGAATAAACCCCTATATCGAATAAATCCGAAAAACTTAATTAAGGTGAAACGCATGGGTGTAATCTTAAAATGGAGGCCATTTTCAAAATCAACAGCTCCGGAAACAGAATAACATTTACAAAAATTCAAAAATTGAATTTGAAATGGAAAAGGTTGAATTTGACTAGGAAAAGCTATATAAGGAAACTGAGCATCTAAGCGAAGATGATGTTTTATATAAAATTTATTTTTACGACTTATATATTTTATATATATATAAGATTTCTGCAATATAGAAGCTAAAGACTTTTTTAAAAGGTTTATTTTACAAGTAAATAAAAAATAAAAAGTCTGAATAACAATATCAGAAAGAAGAGTGGCCTGTAGACGGGCTCTTAGATGATTTGAGAACAAATTACATAATTTTCTAAAGGATATATATGAAAGAGGAGTCTAATTCTAGGAAAGTAGATGCAAGGGTTAACATTTCACAGGCTTGGCTTGTGTTCTCAAGAGCTGTTTCTTTGAATTAACATTACAACCGTGAGAAAGTTTTATTATTTTATATAGAATTAGGGAAAATATAACACATAAGTTATGTACTTATATATTTTATATAAAAATACAGTCCGGCCAGATACAGACACCAATCAACGTATATTATTGCGTGTTTTTTTTTTGTTTTCAAATTGCTTGATTTTTACCATATTTTTTTTCTTTTATTGAATCTTCAACTGTATACTTCATTGACAGTTCATGGTTTCTCACAGTTAAACGAGAAGTGAATGTAGTCAAATTATATAAACTATTACGAGCTATGGGACTGTTGTAAACAACTGAGTTCTATAGGATTAAGCCCTGCTGTTGTCTTACAGATTATTACATCCCACCTTATTATTGTAAGTACAATTTATTTAATTTATATCAATATGGCTCATTGCCCGATATGCAGCAGCACCATTGCTTGAGATGAAAAAAAATTTTATGTTGCTGTAAATGCAAATTGTTATTTCCTTTCTGACTCCAGCGATAAATCATATCTTGAAAACCTAGGTTTTCATATCTTTTCATCGTTCCTTTTTCTCCTACTCATCACACCACCAGGTCTGACTCGGTTGGACCTGTACATTATTGATTTCGCTCAGAACCTCCTTTCCTCTTCCCGATTACCAGTCTCCTTTTTATCGTCACATGATTTAATCCAAATATCATAAATACCCAAACTCCTCCTACCCTACCTAGAATCATAACTTTCCGTAACCTTGATGACGTTATACGAGAAAAAATCTTACCCAACATAGAAACCCCAAATTGGAATAGATTATATTCCTGTTTCTCAATTTATGCCATGGTGAATATTTTCACCCTTATTATTCTGAATATCCTTGAAGACCTTCAGCCGCAGAAAATGCCCCTCTCAAAACCTCTACCTTTAGTCTTGCTGTCCTGCTCCCTCGATGTGTCAGCAAATTAAGGATCTTCAGAAGAGGCGTGATGCTGCCCGTAGACGCTTTTAGACATACTACACTGGTCGACGACTATTAAACGTTTAGTGTGCTCCGCAACGTGACACAAACCTAAATCCAGACGAGCCAAATTGAATTATTTCCATGAAGCCCTTTCATCAGCTCCCAATTCCAAATCCAATTGGCTATGAATCTTCCATATCCCCTCCCTCGGCAGTCTTTCTAGTTTCACCAGATGATTT